CATAGTCAAGGAAGATGACTTGTCTGTAGGTCAGTCATATACAGTACAGTACACAACAACCACTGTACTGTACAGTACAGTGGTTGTTGTGTACTGTACTATACTGTACAGTATGCAACAACCACTGTACTGTACACTGTGTATCTAAGTCACCCTGGACAGTACATTACACTACCTGGTTCGTGAAATACTCATTGAGCTGTTTATATTCTGAAGTGATTTTATCAAGCAACCGCAGCAAAATACTTTACATAAGGACGACCGCTCCTTCAACACAACACCTTCATTAACGTGCAGTGTGTAGCAATAAGTGTGCTTATAGGTTAGTATGAAGGGTGTGAGTAGTGAAGACAAAGTTGGGTTTTACTTATATATTTGCCTTTTTAAAAGGAATGAATTTGTCATGTCTAATGGTGCAAAATGCTCTTGATTTTTGCCAGTAGGCAGGAATGACATCTTTTTCGTTATTAATTTGATTACAGCAAAAGTTTTACTTTTGAGCATCAATTTCAACTTGATAACTTTTTTGTACATAATTGTAATCATATCTCCTTTGTGTTGCCGAAGGCATTAAAATTTTTTCAGCGTGCAGTTATTAGTTGCCTCCATGTTGTTAATCTGAGCCGTGGTCACCATCTAGAAATGGTAAATTACTGAATTTACTTTCCCCATTAGTTTTTTTATTCATTTATACTTTTCTAAATACAGTACTTGAAAAGGAGGAAATTATTATTAATTTACCAAAGTAATGATGCTGAAAGCTTGATTTTTGAGTTTTGCTTTGAGAAAGCATATTTTAAAAGCTATGGGAATATTTGCATGTAAAAGAGGAGGATCGGTTAAGGTAGAGTACAGTACAGTATAGCTAATGTGATTGTTCAAGTTAGTTACATACAAATATTTTAATGTAGTCACTATTTTTTTACTTAATTTTAGTTTAGTTTTGACTAGAAAGTACAAAGTATTGTTAGATGTTGTAGTATCATGCATTTGGAAAGTGATTCATCAGATTTTTTGTATATAAGTGGTTTAAGAGGAAGTAGGATGTACTTTATATGGTTGGTATTATCACATATTGAACTATTTGTACATTACTGAAATATTATTTTATATTATCATTAAATTGATTTTCTTTATGGCTGCCACGAGTGTATTCTCGGGCCACACTTCACCAAAGATAATTAGCCGGTCCCCACCCACCACAGTACTGTAGTGAGCTGCTTTGTTGAGCACCACACAGGGCTCTTACCCATACACTGGGCAGCACGGTCACATCTCATTCAACTCTTTGTACACACGCTCGGTTACTACAGCGGGTGGTGGACCTGGACTGGGTGGCCCCTCCAGTACGGGATGAATCCCACAACGGCCACGGAGTAATGACATAAATTACGTTATGTGAGTTGCCGGGGCTGTGTGCCACACCTTCACCCACCGCTGGGCAGGAGTTGGAAAATAAAATCTTCAGTCATTGTTTTTTTTTTTTTCATGTCATTAATAAGGAAGTTAAGTGTACAGTAGTTGACTCAGCACACACTGGCTGTGCCCTGGGTGCTGAAGTGTTGATTTGGTAATGAAATAGTAATTAAGAATTTATTTTCTAAACCCTCCCTCTGTTTGAGAAATTTGAAAATACAAAGTAATAATATTTAAAATATATAACATGTAGTAATTTGTAACATAATGAATTTTTTTTTTATTAAATTCATGTGGTTAAAATATATATTTCTATATTCATCTTCTCATTACACTCATGCTTATACAATAGCTAGACCTTTTCTTATTTTATTGTGAGTACAAGATTTTTCTTTTTTTAGTTAAGGTGTTTATGTATGGGACTTACAGCCACGTGGGTCCTGTCTCCCATCATCTCTTTTGTTCTGAAGATAAATGAGACTTTATTCATCACTCATTAGTTTTGTTAATAAATGCTGGTTATTAGAAAAAAGTATAAATCTGGTAATGTACAAAAGGTGAAGCATTTAAAAGAAGAAAACTGTCACTTCTTATACATATATTTTTTTATCCCCGTTTTATTGATGTGTATCATGTGACGACGCACAACGTGGTCTCGTGCACATGTGACTTCTGCGGGTAACTTACATGTTCTCACATGGTTGTGTGTTTGTTCAGCATGGGGAGAGAAGCGTGCATTTTGACATTTGATTTGAAAACAGATTTGGTTTGTGTTCCAGTGTTCAAAACATCACAGCATGATGAAAGAACTGGATTAAATTTCTCTTAATACAGTATTACCCTGTACAGTACTGTACTGTGCACACACACAGATTTAGGATGAGTTACCCATTACAGTACACACATAGTCAGTATTAATTATCTTATACAAATGCATATTCAGTATCAGTTGAGGCTATGCGGAAAATAACCTGGTAAGTGCTACCCCGGCCCAAAACTTTTTTTTATCCAATTGTCTTCCCACACGTATTGCCTCTCCATTCTGAGACCAAAGAGCATGAAGCAGTAGTCTGTAGGGTCAAAAATCTCATTTATGTAAAAGGAGTGTCAGTTGGCAGTGCTGGCGTGAAGATGTGCTCTCGCTCCTCTACCCTGCCTGCCGAGACGCTCCAATAGTAATGCACGTAAAAGACATCTAGGAAACCACATGCCTGTGTGATCCTGTGTGTGTGTGTGTGTGTGTACATTATTTTGCATGCAATAATCTTTGTATTATTACCATATCTTTATTTCCAATATGTACAGTAGCTAAAACAACTCTCTGTGCATACTTTGTGGGAAACAATATGAGACCATGGACGATAAATATTGGTATATGAGGGCTGTCACTAGTCACACGTAAGATTTCGGAGCATATCGGCCCCCACCTGCATATAGCATATAGCAGCAAGGTCTACCATTAGACAACATATGCTTCCAGTATCTTCCCAGGTGGAAGTACTCCCCTCTTTGATAGCTACCACTTCCTACAGGCAGTGTTGCAGTGCCAATTTTTAAGATGCCGGAGCTGTCAAAATAATTTCCATTTCTCTCTCTCTCTCTTTCTATATATATATATATATATATATATATATATATATATATATATATATATATATATATATATATATATATATATATATATATATATATATATATATATATATATATATATATATATATACACACACAAGTAAATCACTGTAGGTGCGCGTGATCCAGGTATATGCTGATAACCACAAGGAAAAAGAAAACACGAAATTCCCAAGCACTTTCGTGTAATTCACATCTTCAGGGGTGAGTACAGATTAAGAAGAAATACAGAACATGTTATATATATACAGAGGAGGGTGAGATCAAGTCCACAGTGGTCTGGTAGAGGTAATGACCCTACTGATCTTCACAAAAGCACCGCAGCGGTAGGTAGTCAGGTCAGAGGGTAAGCTGCCCCAACCTTCTCACCTGGTTACAAATCTTCTTAATTATGAAATTATCCAATTTGTACATACCAATGCTTAAATTCATGTTGACGGACTCGGTATGTTTAATGAGACTAGATTCTATAATGTTCCTACTGTCAATTGAATTACAAGGTAATATTGAGGAGGTATTATTCCAGTCAATGCAATGCTTATTATCCCTCAAATGAACAAACAGAGCATTGGATTCCTGGCCTGTCCTAACACTATATTTATGTTGTATAAGTCTAGTTACAAGATCTTTACCTGTCTGGCCTAAGTAAAACATAAAAATAATCTAAAGGGTTAACCTAACCCAATGCCGACCTAACTTTATGCTAGTTTAAGTTAACAAGTGCTCCTCAGTCCTTCTAACCAAACAACACAGAGAGTAAACTGATAATTGGTGAAAATGATAAAGAAATAATTATTAATCCAGCTGTCCCCAAAACAGTGTCAGACCCTCGCCCTGGTGAACCCCAAGTAGGAATTATTGCTCCATTTAAACTTAATGTCTCTAAAGATTGTTTTATTTATACTGTACAGAGGTAGCTATTTGTATCAATAACCGAGTTCATTATAGTTTACACACGTAATAGTCTAAGTAGGTCAGCAGTGCACTGGCCAGAGAACACGTGGCTTACATTATGACATTAATTAACATGTCTGAATGTAATAACACACCATGTAACTAACTCTGATAATAGCAGTGGTCGGGTGGGTTACAAAATAGTAGTCAGTATTTTATAATGTGACCATAAATAAATAAAAAAGGAGAGGAAGTAGTGATGTGACTTTACTTGAGAAGTTTTTGTATAGATTATGTGGAAATAACATATAACTTTGTCCGTTAGGTTTGATTAGCCTTAATGTATAATTCCACTAGGGTATTTTAATCTAGGGAGAATATATATTGTTTATTCAGTAAAAGACATAAATAAAGGTAATGCAGTAAATAATATATATTATATCAAAGACTCTTCAATGGATGTGCTTCCTAGAAAATAATTAATGTTCAAATAATACCACAGAAAAAGCTACTAACCCATTAAATTTTCACAAGATATGAATAATTAACCTCAGCTAACTTAAAAAATCACATAATTAAATTTTTATATTAGTTTTAAATAGATTATATTAGGTTTGCTTGCCTTGTGTTACGTGAAGAATAAATAGTTTAGCGTTTATAGTTATAGTAACATTTTTAACATTGTGCAGAAGACGTGTAACTGTGGTCCTCCTGAAAGACGATAACTTACTAAACAGCTTAACCAACAGGAAGAGCGTTAATTAACCTCATTATTCGTGTTCTGAGCCTGCATTATGAAGTATAATATAAGTATCATCTTTCTTTTATTGAAATATGACATCTAAAACCAACATTTAACCCAATATAAACTATAATCCACAGAAAAGTTAAAATAGTAATTATCTCAATATATTAAAAAAATAAGATATAATTCCGATATTAAATTTCACATAACATACATAAAGATAATAAATATATCTTTAATACATTAATATAGAGAGTAATTAAGGTTTTTTCCTGATGAGGGGGTTGTTTTCGCTGTTCAGTCGTCCCCGTTGTTTTCGCCGTTCAGTCGTCCCTTCACTAGCTGGGGTATACAGGGTGCAGACGACGTCCCTCTCACACCTCTTAAATGACTGAAAATATTGAACCCAGTAATGGTCAGGTAAGTTATTAGGTGTGAATGGTGAGGGTATATATATCCTCTGTGTGTTAGTTGAGGTTTTAAAGGGGTGAATAATGGTATGAGGGTGAGAGGAGAAGAGCTTAGTCATGATGGTGAGGGTGAGGGGAGGATGACATGTCTGGTCATATATTACTTATATTATCTCTCTATCTCTCTTTCTATCTCTCTTTCTCTCTCTCGTTCTCTCTCGTTCTCTCTCGTTCTCTCTCTCTCTCTCTAGCTGGGTATTTTTTGTGATTTTTTTTGTTTGATGTTTTCCTAAAAAATAAAGTTGCCAAGTGACTAAAAAATACATAAAAAAACTAGAAAAATAAAAAATTAACCTAACCTAACTTAACTGACTCTCACCATATCCTCTATTTCTTACCTTATTGGTCTGGTTCTTGGTCGTCGTTGGATTCTTACCTAACGCCACATATGTTGGTCTTTGCGATATTTACACTCCGTCTTGCTCTTAGTACACTTTACTGAGGTTGGAGGAACACCATGCGATCAAAAAAATGCTATAGTTTCTAGGTTTTTTTTTCCATAAACTCTCCATCAGCTCCATATACTTTAAGAGACATCCATCGCAGACTTCCATGGTCGGAACTGAACTTGAATTTCAAAAATTGAGAAACCCAAAATAAAACTCGATTTTGATTGGGCGAAATATACTCTGAATTAAACCCCAAATCATTTTAATTGGTTCCAAAAGCATAAACTCTTTTGATTGGCTGCGTGACGTGTACGATTTATGAAGGAGACGCGAGAGACACGCAGCGTTGGGTGAGAGGCAGACGATAATGGCGGGAGGTTAATGGAAGAAAATAGAAAATTTCTTGGAAGAGCTATCTCCGTTATTATACATTTCCGCCGGTAATGTAATGGATGAAAATTATCTCATAATTAGACGTCTTATTCGAATATGATAAAAGATTAGTGGTAGGAATGAACGGTGTGTAAACGCAATAATACCATAGAGAGACCAATTATAAGGGGGGAGATAATATATAATGATAAAAGAGAAGGTTAGAGGCCATAAACAAGTATGATCATTCACTCAGATATTTATTCAGCATTAACTCGTAACATAACTTTCATTACCCACATTTTCTTAGGTAATCCTGCAGGAGATATCTAACACCAGAAGGCGTTGTTCAATTTCATATATTTTTCTTTGTGTTCTTATCATTATACTGTAGTTAGTATTTTAAAGGAGGCGTCATTAACTAACTTAGAACCTAATCTAACCAACCAAAGAAACCTAACCTAACCTTACCTAACTTCCTAGACCCCGCCATATTAAACAGAAAGTATTAATTTTGATGTCGGGTACCAATGAAAGCAGTATTAGGTTAAGTTAGTAATAGGTTAAATTACTTTTACTTTTATCCTCTTCACCACTGATCGGCACGTTAGCCGCTTGGGCGATCGGTCACGTCTCTGTTATGCACTGTTGGCAAATACTGGGCATGCACCGGCTCCTGAATGTACCTGAACCTGCTCCAGTGTTGGTCAAGTCTGGTCTTAAAACAGCTCACACTTGGTGCCGTCACAACACATTCTGGTTGATTGTTCCAAGAGTTCACAACTCTCACTCCGAAAAAGTTACCCCTTACAGTTTTCTGGGCTTGCGGCTTCTCCAACCTTGAGCTGTGACCCCTTGTGGGGCGAGCGTCCGCCAGCTCCAGGTAAGGACACTCGACTGAGTAGTGCCCTTTGAGATGCTTATACACCTCAATTAGGTCGTCTCTTGCCCGTCCGTAGTATAAGCTAGGAAGTTGCAGGCGCTCTAATCTCTCAGGGTAGCTGAAGTGCTGTAGTGCAGGCACCAGTCTGGTGGCCCTCCTTTGGACATTTTCAATCAACTGACAGTCCCTAGCATATCCCGGGGACCAGACGGGGTGACAGTACTCCAGGCGGGGAAGCACCTCACTCTTAAAGATCGTGATGAGCGATGGACCGTCTAGATATCTAAACGACCTTCTTATAAGACCTACTGGTTAAGTTAGGTTAGGTTAGGTTTACTGGGTTTGTTAACTCAGCTTTCAGAGACGATTTATATATACATTAACTATGTCGTTGATGGTCAGTGAAGAGAGTTGGTGCTCCCTAAGGTCGTCCAAACATTATTTCCTCAAGTTATCAATGATTTCTTCTTTGTTTTCCTCTCAGAATTTGTCTTCTTTACGTTGAAACAAATATACTTTAAAGCCCCATAAAAGATACAAAGACAGACCTCTAACAACTTCAAACAAATTGGTGAAATCCCATGAAAAAAAACAAACAAACAAACAATATGTAGAAAAAGTAACGATTGTATTGGTATTATTATCATTGTGCTCATCCGGGAAATGTTAGGAATTTAGGTTAGGTTGGGTTATGTTGGGTAGGGTAGGGTAGGTTGGTTTGAGTAGATTGGCTAGATTAGGTTGGTTAGGTTAGGTGAGATCAAAATCATTAGAAACATAGGGATGACCGAAAATATAATTTTACCATTTTAATTTTAACATTCATCCCATTTTCTTGTATAAAATTGTAAAGCAGCTGAAGTGTATCCATATTTAAGTTTATTAGAATACTGTACTGTATGTTTATTCAGAGTTTGGTTATTTCGTGTTTTGCATCATGAGTGCCCTTAGTTTATTTCACCCTAACACGATGTGGGGGTTAAGTCATCAGGTGAAATAAGCTTGAGTGTCTGGTCTCAAAACTTGACGCATCGTTCCATCTTGCGACGGATTCACAAAACCCTCTTGAGGTACTGTACTGTAGGTGAGGTACTGTACTGTAGGTGAGGTACTGTACTGTAGGTGAGGTACTGTACTGTAGGTGAGGCACTGTACTGTAGGTGAGGCACTGTACTGTAGGTGAGTTACTGTACTGTAGGCCTAAAGGTAAACAGGACATCTCACAGGGCCTTTGACGAGTCTCTTAAAAGAATTCTTACCAATATACTGTAGACTCGTTGAATTCCTGTCAAATAACAGTACAGTAATTTAACAGATTCGAGTAGAGTAGAGTTGTTTACTTATGAAGGAGGAGCTGTAGTGGTGGTGGCTCTGTAGTAGGGAGTTATTAGCAGTGGTAAGATGTGAGTGTCATGATGTGAGTGTCATGATGTGAGTGTCATTTAATAAGCTGTGTGTGTCATGTGCCTGTATTGATGGAGGGTAAGCAAACTTATCAAACTGGTAAATCAGTAAATGTTAGTTTTTAAGAGTTCATATTAAGGGACGAAAGTTGACTTGTGTGTTGGGAAGGATGGCACAGTACAGTACACAGGGTATAGATCCTCCGCGAGTTCTCTGACCCATTTTAAAACTTAACGACCTCAGAAATATTACAGGTAGAACACGCTGGTTTGGCTATAATTGACGAACAACTCGTTAGTATTTTCTTGGATCGTTTGACTTCTACGTTGTTATCGGTCGACTTCCACGTTGTTATCGGTCGAATTCCACGTTGTTATCGGTCGACTTCCACGTTGTTATCGGTCGACTTCCACGTTGTTATCGGTCGACTTCCACATTGTTATCGGTCGAATTCCACGTTGTTATCGGTCGACTTCCATGTTGTTATCGGTCGACTTCCACGTTGTTATCGGTTGAATTCCACGTTGTTATCGGTTGACTTCCACGTTGTTATCGGTCGACTTCCACGTTGTTATCGGTCGACTTCCACGTTGTTATCGGTCGACTTCCACGTTGTTATCGGTCGACTTCCACGTTGTTAGCGGTCGACTTCCACGTTGTTATCGGTCGACTTCCACGTTGTGCTCAGCGTTCTATCTGTAATATTTTTGAGGTTGGGTTTTATAATGGATCACATTATTTTATACGTATCTCCCCAACTTATAGTAATTTTAGTACATGTTTAAGTTGGTCTGACGTTAATTTTTAGGTCCATTGATGTTGTACTGTAGACTGTGTGCTGTAGTTACACATAGATACTTGGTCCCCAAACAGAATAGTACCAACTCTGAACTTGTGAGATGATTGTGGGGTCTCGGAAATGTATATATACGATAGAGTATTTGCAAGAGATATATAATGTGTTTTGAGTGTAATTTAATACAGAACCTTTTTACCACAGGAAAGGATTTATTGTATAGGAACTACGTAGTTTAAGATGTGTAATTGAAGGATGTGATATTTAACAGTGTGTGTGTGTGATTATTTTTTATAGGGAGAGGTGGTTTCAGCAGGTGAGGGAGGAGGAGGTGGTGGGGAGGGAGGAGGTGGTGGTGGTGGAGGAGAGGGAGAGGGAGACCAGCAGGTCGCCCTGGCAGACTCCGCCGGACCTCCTGCCGCCCAAGACCCTGCTGCACAAGACGGAGGCCAGCAACAGGCTCGTCAACCTACCGCCGGAGAGTCTTTCATGGCCATCACCAAGTCCCTCGTCATCAGAGCCATCATAATATACTTCATAACATCCTTCTTCAGGTAGATAGGCAGCTCAGGGCTTTAGATTAACCATAAGCTCTCCTCTTAACTAATATTTGATTGATATATGAGAGTCTTTTACCAGGTTGTGATATATAGTTGTTATTGTATGTCCATTGCATTTTATTTATTATTATTATTTTTTTAATTGCTTCGTACAGACGTCCTCAGCAACCCACTGGGCCTCAGGGTGGGACAGAGGGACAGTTGGATCCCAGTGGACGTAACCCAGCCCTAAATCTATTCAAGGACGGACAAATTATGGACCTTTATGTCTACATGGCTGAGTTTGATGACTTGCCTCCCTTCAGGGACCCCAAAGCCCTGGTGTGGTGTAAAAAAGACCTCGTTTTTGGAGACTGGACGAGTGGACCCAATGGAGATGGAACCTATACCAAGTCAATTACCTTCAACACATCTTCGGTAGTGTAGAGAAAAAGTTGTTCATTTGATTGATTTTTGTTATATTCATATGAAGTATACGAATGAAATCCGATCTTATCTTCATTATTGAGGATTATCTCACGACCTTACAGTTTCTACGGAACAACGGCTCGATTTACCTCCACGTGTACTTTGTGATGAGCGGGAACTCCCCCAACCCTGCCGATGGTCTTGAAGGTTACAATAAGAAGTACACAGTGTACAGCTCACAGCGACTCAATAAATACAAGAGGCGTCGCTACAAGAAGACCAGCAACCTCATCACCGGAGAGACTAAGCTTACTGACGAGGAGGTCATGGTGTGTGGTTTACCAGAGGAGTGTGTTCTGTTCATGATATCCAAAAGATAGAAAATTTTTTATTCATTATTGTAGTGAGATAAAAATGAGATAATATTTGGATTTAAATCAGATTATACAATATGATGTATTTATGTCAAGTAATTCAGCAAATATGATGAATCATAGTAAATATCAGAAGTAGGAAGTCCCTCTTAACTCACTCTTCCTATTATCTTAATATGTCTCTTGTGATCTTGGGCAGAAAGCTGATACTCTCAAGGAGGAAGTTGTGTCTCACTGGCACCCAAACATAACCGTCAACATGGTGTATGACTTCACCCAGTGGACGCCCGGAGCGGTGCCGCCGCCCCTCGACGAATACATGGAGTTCACGCCCGCAGGAGACAGGTAACACTGACTTTTGGGTGCACTGTGGGGCAATGCTAGAAGTCTTAAGTTTGGATATAATTATTTAGCAAACACCACCACAAGTGTTACCTGAGCTGTAGAATGTATATACTGTATATGCTCATATCAAGTAAAAGTTAGGTACTGTAGATGTTATTTACCCCACGGCTGGCAAACTTGGAGTATGTATTCTAAAGTCAAAATATTTTTGGGGATGACTAAATTCTCTGCCCTTACTCTTGCAATTCTGAAGAAGGAAGAAAATATTCAAGCGTGAAAATTTATATATTAATTTTAGTGATTGATTTCTGGTGAAGTAAAATTTAATCACAATCATCAAGCAGAGTCATCAACGCCACCTCAGTAAGCTCTGTGGAGGAGTGAGCTGTAGTAGATAAGATGATATGAGAAGTTGTAAACAATTCTTTTGTGAGTTTTTCAATATGTAACTCTTTGCCGTATACATTCTCATTTTAGGTACAAACCGATTGTCTTCATGAACACGTACTGGAACCTGGTGAAGGACTACCAACCCATCAATCATACCTCCGAGATCCTGGACCTGAGCGTCACCTTCCAGCCGCTCTCCCTCTTTAGGTGGCAGCTGTATGCCGCTCAGGCCATGAAGAGCAGGTACGAGTGCCAGTCTGTTTTGCCCGGGTGCCAGCAACATGGTCAAGGAGCCTCTGATCTTGAACTCAGCCAGATTATGCAACTGCCTGAAAATGAGTGCCCTGCTTTTGAGCTTTATAGTAGTTTCAGGAAATAGCTTAAAAGTACAGTACATTTATTCTTACAAGGGAGGAACAAAAGCTGGAACTAAATACATTTTAGGGAAGTTTTAATATCTTCAGTGGTAAGGTGAGACCAATTCTGAGGTGCCTTTAAATGTACACATTGCGATGGTAGTTGGTGATGGTTCCTCAACAATATTGCTTCTACGGCTACATTTTTCTTCTATTGTAGTTAGGAAGGTTTACTCAGAGTTTTATTTAAGTGCAATATTTCTTTGATGACATTATGGCATCTATACTTTTATGTACTGTGCTGTGTTGGCTCACACTTAATATAGGAATATTTGCACTAAAATAAAGTTGGATTAAACCCCCTTTTCTTAGTGACAGTATTATATGCCTATTGTTGTGTCTGAAGACTTCCAGTCATTTGTTGGCCTCTGAATGAATGTGCCAAGATAAACTCTGATTAAAAAACTATTTGTATTTATAAACATAAGATATTACATGTACTGTAGTATCCTGTTGGTGCATTATCAACACTTGTCCAGCTTAACTCCTCTAATGTTGACATAAACTACCTGGTTGTGAGATGTACTGTACTACTCCTTAGGATAGATTTTTTTTTTTCTGGAGGCTTAGTTTCTTGGTGAAGTAGAGTTGTACAACACAGTCACTTGTGTCTGGTGGTGCAGGTAATTGTCACTTGTTATATCACAGTTGGAGTCCTCAGCTGCCCTCATGACACACCTCCCCTCTTATCACTACAGTACTGTATTATGATAACGAGATCAAACTTGTGCTCTGGAAATACTTGAGAGTTATTGTATAAAGTATTGAGGAATAATATAGAGTATAAGTGATGCTTAGGTTCAGTTAAGTGTTTGGGAAGTATTGTTAAGTTTTTACAGATAAGTAATTGAGGCTCTTGTACAAAAAGCACATTTATTTGGACAATACTTTATGGGTAAATGAAAATCACCAAATGATGGGATAGGTTGTTGGTGTTGTTTCCTGCCAGCCACCTGATGATGACTATTATAGCAGGACAAATCTGAAAGAGTAAAAAAAGAAAACATCAAATGGTGTTTCTTTATGAAGGTAAGATTAAGTGTGATTATTTGAAGCATTATGGGTCCTGGGTGACATGGTGTCATGATTGGAGCTTATGGTAGACAACTAGTTTTACCTGTTGGATCATATTGTTTTATATGGCGTTAGTGAGTTAGTGAGTGTGAGGCCGAGGTTGACAGGTTTTATGCTTATGACTCGACAGCAACGACATGTTCTACGCACGAGGTAATAGTTTTGGCATTTGCCGTTTCATCGTGGTGTAATATTTGTATTTTGTATTTATTTGTATTAGAACAGGTACTCGGGTGTTTGTGGGGTTGTGATGTAATATGTTGCAGACACATTGATTTCAAATACAATATAAATGTTCAGTGTTCATATGTAATCTATGAACAAGAAGGCTGTGAATGAACCTAACAGCCAGAAGAATGTCTTTACCGAGTGAGATACCTTTCCCTTGCCAAGTGCTGAATATATTACATTTTAAGTCTAGTCAAGGTCTTCATTACTCTAGTCAGTGCGGAGTTGTGTGGGACTCCATCAGCACCACGTACTTGATGCTCAGTGTTGGGTGGTGTGGAGCCAGGCAGTGTAGACACTGTATCTCACTTGTTCAGCTAAAAGTGTAATGTACTGTAGTGTGATAGTCCTTTATTGTTCTCTGCCTCCTTGTTAAGTCTCCTCATAGATCAGGATACTCTTGTGCCTCCTTCAAGGCTGTGGTTTATGAAGTATTTTTCAACATTGTAAAATTATCTGCTTTTTATTGTTTTTATTCTGCTTCTGCAATCATTCTGGTGCTGTTTTCCTGATGCTTCTCTACAGATTTGTTATGTCAGAAGGAAATTGATAATGATCTGCCAGTTGTCAACTTTACAGTACCGTACAGTAGTTGGAAAGTCACCAGTGTTGCTAAATGGCAGTGGCTCCCAAACATGGGGTTGGGACAAGATGCATCATAAGGGGTTGCATAGAGTTCATGGGGTCGTATAGAACTTAGGGTCACTGGGCTCCCATAGACCTCATAGGGTTGCTGGAGTCACCTGGGTCTTGTAGTGGTCACATGTGATTTTTTATTTTTTTTAGTCCAGGTGTCAAGGAGTGAAGGATGTGGCCAACAGGTACTGCCTCGTTAAGTCAGGACCATAAATTATGGTCCTAGGGATTAATGCAGATACTCTCCTTGTCAGGTCAGGTTAGGTCAATCCAGGTTCAGGCTTGCCCTGATGACAGGTTTCACAAGAGAAGTTCCACACTCCTACTTTTGATCTGCTCTCAGCTCACCTTACTCCCGACTTTCCATGGATGCGGAGAGAAAATTTCATTGATAGATTCCCAGAGTTGCTAACAGAGTCATGATTTTGTTCAGTTTTTGTTCAAGACAGATGTAAAAGTGTGTTACATATGAATTATGACTAATGTAATATGTACTGAAAATTCATTAAATGATGATGCACACATATCACATACAAAATATGACAGAGTTGTATCTAAGAAAATTGTACGTTATGTTGCTTAACCACATAATTATACTGCCACCCCCAGGTATAAACATGTCACACATTAAACATGAATGTTTCTGCCAGTGTTTACTTTTAGACTTGTTTTTACAGTTAAATAAGTATAAAACATGTCCGTATCTGTTTTAAGACTCGTCATATACTGTATACAGTATATATAATGATTTGGGGTCTCACTGGATAGGTGGCAGCACTAGATGGAGCCACACTGGGAAATGCTTGGGAACTCCTTCTCTATGGTTTATAGTTATGATGTCCTATAGTAACTGTGAGTAGTAGCTTCCCACCTCCTTGATAATTACACTGTACTGTACTGGCATTGGTTACTGTACACTTGTGTTGACTAAACTGGCCGATGATATATTACTACTGTACGGTATAATTCTCCTTCGGTTATTTCTCTGTACGTGAATCTTGCTGTTGTTGGGTCACGTACGACTATCAAAGACTTGTGTGTGTGTCTCAGTCGTAATAAAGCTGTGTTATATTTCTTCTGCTGTTACTTATTCTCCTTAAGTTCTCAATATATTATTCTCTTTCCTTATTATTAGTGAAGGACGGAGGCTGACACGTACTCTTGTCTCTCTATCTCTTCATGAATCTACGTCTGCTTCTTTGTTTTCTGTGTCTGCCTCAGGAGATGAATTAACAGCTCTCTGTGTGCTCCCTTGTCTACTGTTTGTGTACATTATATCAGATCGTATATTGTATGTCTCATGTCGCTCTGTTTATTCTTGTATTGATGGTGTTTTTGGTGTTTATCCTCTACTGTGTGTGTATGCCTTGTTGTGTGTGAGTGATCAAATGTGTAAAATGAATTCTTCCACCAGTTTTAATACAGCTACATATCTTATGGTTGGCACAGTACATGATATGGGTAAGAAGAAGTACTTGTAGATGGTATTTATGCTGGTATACGGTAGGTAACTTCGCTGCAGAGTCCATGTGTTCATTTGTCTGTCCTACCTGTTGGGGGCTGGGGATTAATCCTCTTCAGTTGAATTTTTGTTTATGTTAGTTGAGTGATTTGCCTGTCCACTTGTAGAGTATGTGAGTGGTGGTGGTGGAGGAAGAACTTTAAAGTGTGTTAGATAATTGGGTCCTGATTAGTTAGAGGGGGAATAACACTGGTGGGAGAGACTGTGTTTTCTCTTGTCTCCAGTCACCTTGTATACTAGCTAGCCAAGGTTTTAAAAGAGTGGAGCAAATTACAGCCTTACTGGTAGATAATGGACCCACAGTATACAGTATCCAGGGAGCTGTGAAAGTTGTGTGATCCGTTCAGCATTGCATCGAGGGTTTGGCTGTTTTAGTCTTTCAAAACTCTTTCTCCATTTGATGAAAGATAAATAAACAATAACAACATGACCTGTCTTAATTTATGCACACACACACACACACACACACACACACACACACATCTATCTGTAATATACCAGCCTACTTATAACTTCTCATATTGTAACCAGTAAACTTAGATGTATTGCTTCAATAAGTGCCAAGAGCAAAACAGTCCCATAAAACACCAAAGATGACAACAAAAATGTATTAAAACACCAAAACAATCCATAAAAAAATAAATTTGTGTTATACAGTAAATAAAAGAAGTGTGGTCCCAGATCTGCCCATCTTCATTTCTTGAGAATCTGACTATCATAAAATACCAATAAGTCGGTGTTTACTCTGCTGCTTCGGTCAACACCTGGAAGTGTCACCAACATGACGTACGAGACATAATAGGTTATTCGTCTATTCATCAACACCTAATAAGAATTCCACGCTGCACCTTCAAGCTGTTGTGTACACCCACCAGGTGGCCGGGGACTGCCATGTTGGAGGGTCTGGGCGGGGAGGAGGACGAGGAGGACCAGGACACCATCAAGGAGGCCTTCCTGGAGACGTCTCCGTACCTGCTGGCTCTCACCATCATCATCTCCCTCCTCCACTCTGTGTTTGAGTTCCTCGCCTTTAAGAATGGTGAGTTATATGCCCTTGGTGAACAGTACAGTACTCAGAAAATAAGATTAAGTACAGTACATATTGTGGTAAAGGTGTAGGTACTGTACTGTAACTTTCATAGGCGATAATTAAACAACTTTAATACTAAACTAAACTAACTTAGTCTAATCTTAATCCCCTCATTCAACATTAAGGTGTTCAATCATCAGGTAAAATAATAAGGAGTTCCAAATCTTCTTGAGAATCCCTCTTGTCAAGCTTTTTCTTAACTATTAAATGTTAAACAGCACATAAGACATTATTTTAGTATTGGTAAGTTAAAGATTATTATGCCACCACTTATATTTCATCTCGTTTAAATTCCCAGATATCCAGTTTTGGAACAACCGTGAGAGTCTCGAGGGCCTGTCGGTGCGTTCAGTTTTCTTCAATGTGTTCCAGTCAGTCATTGTACTTCTCTATGTGCTGGACAATGAGACCAACTTTGTTATTAAGGTGTCGTGCTTCATAGGCCTTGGTATTGAGCTCTGGAAAATCACTAAGGTAAGTTATGTACAGGTTACCTTACCTTCCTTCCTATCGTGTGGTGGTGTGTGTGTTTCCCGTTAGTTCGTGGTTTATGCTAAGTACATTTTTTGATACAAGATTACCATTATTTTAGTAGCTATAGATTGAACCATAACTTTTCCTACACTGGGTGGTGGTGATCATTAAAGTATCTTTGGCTATAGATATGAATGATTTGTGTAGGATCCATATTATGCAATCACAGAATCATTATGCCTTACTTACTACACTTAATTTGAAAGGTTTCTCAACTTCTGGAGAACACATACATGTACGTTAATTTGAAATATTATGTTGATTTTATTTCTCGTATCTCCTCCTACATGTGTACAGTTGTCAGCCATGCATGAAACTAAACTCAGATCAAGTGCTAATTATACAGTACAGTCTCCATATAATAGACTTCTTTCTCCATATAATCCACTAGATGGAGGTTTCACATCTAATGGGCCCTCTATATAGCAGACTTTCCTCACCATATAGTCCATTAAATAGAGGTTATTAGTGTGTTATACAGTCATGCGCCGATTAACGTCCAACCGAACAACGTCCGATCGCATATCCGCCCGCCTCAAAAAAAAAATAAAAATCCGTGACGCCTGCTGGACCACCACTCCACGACCCCCTGACTGAGATACGATGATCCTCCCCATACTGGTCAGATATTATGTGTTAAAGGAATATGCTTCCTTCCTTAGGCTTTTTTTAAACATTTGCCTCCAGGTGTAATGTTAACCTACATCTATTGAGGATAAAATCTTTCACCTACAAATTGACAATAACACATTTGCTGTAATCAGACATATCTAGTTGCCTCAACAATTGCAACCCCAGTTGCAATTGGGGTTGCAATATCAAATTCTGTGGCATTACTAAGTATAGTGAAGTCTCTGGTGCACTCTAAGATTAAGAGAGAAAACGGAGGACTCAGGCGTCCTGATGTGAGAGAAAACGGACTCGTATGATGGGGGACCAAATAAAAAAAGCATAGCTACATGTTTTGTGGACTACAGTATTAAGCGTACCCTTTTCATCACTTTGTAATAAACCTAGCCATGCCTATGTGTGTTTATGATATTTACCATAACATTATATATATATTTAGTGGGTATAAATGGTCGTAAAATGGGAAACTTGGGGTTGGGTCTTGGGTGCCTGGAACCAATTAGAATAAATCCCATAGGTTCTGTACTTTCGTTATCGGCGGGGTCCCAATTAGGCGCTATAACCAAGGGATGACTGTACTGTACTGTATATACTTGTGACACTGGCCAGTTGCTTCTGGTGTTATGGTACAGGGGTACCAAGTGACAGCACTAGGATCCCGCTTCCTCTATCAAGGAATAAACAATTAAAATTTAAATTGAAAAAAAAAACATTCAAATAATGGGACCTAGCGAACCTAAATGGCCCTAGAGCGGGCACAGTCACGTATGCATCGCGTATTCTTATAGATTGTGCTGCCAGGCGTACGTTATCTAGTGAATTTAGTCAATATTGTACAGTAACAATGGACCTAAGTGCAAACCTGTATTGTACATGTACTAAATGATTACGGTACTAAAATTGTTATGTCTATTGCAAATATAGCTTGTTTATACAGGTATTCAAATAAATTACTATCTTACAAGAATCCCTCCAATGTAAGTTATATTCACCCAGGTCGTTTGGGTGGCAAATTATGAGAAGAGCTTAGTCACTCTTAAGTAATGATAAATAAACACACAGGCAGGCCTTCAGCGCCAACTGTCAAATCTTATCTCAAATAAATAAACAAACAAACGCCAGACATTCTGTCACCTCACCTCCCGCCCTCTTCCCACCACCCTCGTGTTCAAGATAAAAGATTGGTGATTTCTTTATGTTTATTTTATATAATATCTCAGACTAAAGTTAGGATAATATAATTTGCATTGCTGAAATCCTTGCAAGACAGAGATTAATTTGAATATAAGCGTCATATATTTTGCTCAAGATATAAAAAATGTAGTACATTAGTGTACAATACTGTAGTACATTTTATAAAAAGTTTTTCAACTGTATTTTTGGGTAGATTTACATAAATTTCTTCATTTATTTTCATCCATTTACATGCACACACCATAATAAAAGAAACGTAAAAGAAATAAATGACCTTAGTGCAAAGCTGGAGTGCACATGTACTAATTTGATTATGGTACTAAAATTGTTATGTCTAGTGCAAATTACAGCATGTTTATATTCAAATTAATCAGTATCTTACAAGAATCCCAACAATGTTAATTATATTCACCCAGGTCATTTCACTTAAGAACTGATAAATATACACGCGTTAGACCTGGGCCTGTGCCAACTGTCAAACGTACTACCTCCCCTCCCCCCACGCCCCCTCGCACCCTCTCTCTCCCCCATCTGCTGGCATTGCTCTTATCCTTGTAAAACAGTGAATAATTTTAATATAAATGTCATGTATTTTGCACAAGAGATAAAAATTAATCACCTGTATCACATTACAGTAGTGATTTAAGAGTAAAAGTGTATATGTACGTATATAGTATTCCACATACACGTAAGTATAAATACAAAGTTTATGTGATGATCGGACAACGTCCATTTCGGTTAACGTCACGTTTCCAAGAACATATTTAGGACGTTGACTGGCGCATGACTAGTTTGTTTTATCCAGTGAATTAATCTCCATTTATTTTACTCATCAGGTGACCAATGTTTCCTTAAACCGAGAGAGGAGGATCATGGGTATCCCCACACTTAAATTCACCGACAAGGGAACGTACATCCATTCCTTGACGAAGCAGTACGATGAACTAGCCTTCCAGTACCTGTCAATGGCGCTGTTTCCCTTACTGGGAGGCTACTGTATGTACTCCCTGGTGTACGACGAGCACAAGGGGTGGTACTCCTTCGTGCTCTCCATGCTCTACGGCTTCCTCCTCACCTTCGGTATATATCTACATTTTATTTTAAGCTCGGGATAATGTTATGACGTTGGATCATTAACTTCTTGGAGCTAAAGACAAATAACCATTGTTAGTTATTGGTATTTCAACCTTTATTGCCATCACAAAGTCGTGGGTATTGAAAATAATCATTAACTATTTTTTTTTATGAAATTCGATGTGTCTGTGTTGGTCATAAAATGTGACTTAACCAAACAAGAGACCCAATTAGCCGAGATGGTAAAATAAATCAAGTGTCGTCTCCTTCAGGTTTCATCATGATGACGCCTCAGCTGTTCATCAACTATAAGCTCAAGTCTGTGGCTCATCTGCCCTGGAGGATGCTCACCTACAAGGCCCTAAACACCTTCATCGACGACATATTCGCCTTTGTAATTAAGATGCCGACCATGTATAGGTTAGGCTGCTTGAGAGACGACGTCATCTTCTTCATCTTCTTGTACCAGGTATGATGCTGGTCTCTGGTGTTTACCTGTTAGAGTGTGAGTGAGTGAATGGGTGGGTGGGTGAGTGAGTTAGCCAGAGAGTGAGTGAGTGAGTGAGTGAGTTAGAGAGTGAGTGAATGGGTGGGTGGGTGAGTGAGTTAGCCAGAGAGTGAGTGAGTGAGTTAGAGAGTGAGTGAATGTACATACGTCTACATATACACTAGTCAATATGTTTTCCAGGTTATTGAATAGGATAGGTACAGGTAAGAGACTTAGTTAAGGGTTTTATAAAGAACTGAAGGTACTGTACTGTATACCTTTAGCTTATTGTTACAGATTATAAGTGAGGTACAGTGAGCTAGTGTTTATGATGATGTTATAGTGTTAGCTGAGTAAGATAATACTCGAGTCTTTCAGTCACTCGCCATAATTCCCAACACCTGAGTAGAAATTGTTGGTCTGTTCCTATCCATTATTTCTCTCCCATGTTGTGTGGTTGAGGGGGAGTAGGGTAGTGTAGGTAGTAAGGGGACGACTGAAATAAGGAGGACATAGTTTATATATGAACACAAGGTCAGTGATATATAGCTACTGTATATGAATAAACTAATAGGTGTTTGGTGTTCCAGTAATGTATTTGTAAAGTTTTCCGGATGTGTTCACCTTTTAATGTGTTTTATATCTGTCTTTCTTCTCAGCGTTACATATATCGTGTTGATCCTTCAAGAATGAACGAGTTTGGGTTCTCACAAGACATGGAGAAGCACGCGAAGGAGATGAAGGAGGTCGCTTCACTGGGCAACGGTGCTACGGCGGCTGAAATTGAACCACCGCCAAAGTCTTTAGAAGAGAAGAAGGAGGATTAGGCTGGTGTAGCGATATTAAACAAATTATTGTGGTAACTCGGGTGGTGTTTGTGTAGGTGGACAATGTGAGATAAAGAAAAGACAGACACGTTTATTAGTGACATTTGTGATGCTTCTCAACTTGGACTTAAAACTGCATGAACAAGGCTCCTGAGACTTAGAAGCTCGGCCTTGAAATAGCGGAGCGATGTATTTTATTTTGTTTCGTGCCGAGGGTTATTTTTTTATTGTAGCGTATGTTTGTTGTGTTGCGAGGCCTGGAAGTCTGAAGCGCCTTTTTTATTCTTAACCATTTGCTAAATGCTGGAAAACAAACCTATAGGCGAGTCAATTAGTTTTATTTAGTCGACACCCGTGATGACTGCCTGGGACCATTCGTACCCAAACCTGCACCTCCTCCTAAAGTTGGCGGTCATCACGTAGAGAAAATGTTCCCCCCGAGAGGTCCCCCCTTTTTAATGAGAGATATGCCTTCTGCAGAAAAAGTATATATCATTCACAAATAGAAAAGAATAAAAAAAATATTATTGCCTGGCTTTAAAGAGGAATGAAACTGAGGAATATATTGCACTGCTCATTCCACATGAATCAGTTTTTATTTTATTTATTTTTTGTGTGTGTATGTATGTATGTATGTATGTATGTGTGCAAGTGTGTGTGTGTGTGTGTTACCCTCACAAAAATGATTTAAGGAATGATTTTAGTGGCAATAGAGAGTACAGTCCAACATGAGACAAGGGACACAGGGAACTTGGTGCTTCACAATCCCAGACTGGGTTTTATGCTGATTGCTGGGGGAGTAAGGTTCCTGCTATGGTAAGCTTGTTGAGGCCCTGTTGTGCTGACACTGGGTAAAACTAGTCATCGTGAAGGAGGGAACTCTACCACCTGATAACTAACAAGCATTATCACTTAGCTTTTATTATACATTTGGGAAGGTGTGCATTATACTTTACAAATAATGTGCAAATCTTAATAAGTTTGTTGATAGGTAAACTTTTATTTTTGTGGTGTTATAAATGAGAGAACTGTACAGTACACATGTATTTCTTTTAGGTTCTTTGGTTTACTCAGCAAGATAGGATTGGTGAGCACAGCAGTGGCCTTGAAACATTATTAGGGAAGTGTCCTGTCTGAACTTTGTCAACTAGACTGATGGATGACACAGTTTACATCGGTCACATGTGTTGTGTTCTACCATCAGCTCAGGTTTTAGTTCCCAGTGTAATATTTGTGTATCAGTTGTCAGCAGTGGGCAGTTGTCATGCTCTACAACAGAACCCTCCCTTCTCTCTCTCTCTCCCTCTTTTCTTTTTTTTTTTAAACCAGTGATGTAATGATTTTGATAATTTCATACTTTGTATAATATTTATATATTGTACTTTTGAGTTATTTGGTAGGGTTATTAAATGTGTTAGAATATATGATTTATTGACTACACTACTGTATACTCCCAGACACATCTTCTCAAATTGGGATTTACAGTATATGTATTTAATGGGATTTTAACTTCGACTTTGGAATTGTCAAGACTTTGCATGTGAGTAATTAGTTGTTTTAGTTGAATTCTTGAAAGTGGTTGTCAATGAGAATGGAAAGTTGATCTGTAAAGAAATAAAACTCGTAATAAAGGAGGGACTCGTAATGCTGATTAGTGGTTAACTGCAGTCTGTGCTTTGTGAAGGAATGTAAGTCATTTTCATGCTTATGGTTGATAATTTCCTTTTACCCTCGAGACATCATCCAACGCTTGTTTATAAGTTTCCAGTATTAAGCCACTGAACCAAACCCGAAGTGAAAGGTATAATGCTCGCTGGGCAGTACCTTCTGTGGTGCCAACCTTCTGTGTGAGATGGAATTAGTATTTTAATTTTAGACCATTGAATGATTGGAATGACAGCTCTGTTCTTTACCACGGTGAGTACTGTGACCCCACCTGACATTGGCGTTAGATTTGAGTCTCTTTGATTTGTGAGTAATAATTGCCACTTAACCCTTGGATGAGGATGGTTTAACCCTTCAGAACTTGATGGATTAATGAGACAGCTTGGCTGGTACAGTACAGTACGAGGCTTAGCTACCACACTCACTACTGTACAAGCTGACAGACCACAGTACAGTATTAAGGTGCATATCTAGTGTGGTGGTTTCGAGATTTTGTGAAATTACTTGAATAAACTTTTCCCTTAGGATAAGAAAGACAATATGCCTTGGCTTTTAATGCATAATAAAGGACATTACATTTTTGTGTTGATAAATAGCTAAAGGATATTTTGTCCATTGACCTAGTGAGTGTGAAAGGTGGAACATCACATGCTCATTCTATTAATAAGGTTACAGTGTGGGCTATGGTGGTTGGAGTAACAACACACAGTCATCATTTGCTGCAGTCAAAACCCCACATGTGTTTTGTCTCTTATAGAAGGAGATTCTGAACTTCCTAACAGTTAAGTAAGTGTTGAGGAGCCACCACCACTACCACCTTGTATCTCCATCATTGTGCACTCGAGCAATGAGACAGCAACATATGATTAGACCAAACCGTGCAACGAGCAATAGACTACAGTCAACCCTCACTTTACGCGGTCCCACATTCCGCGTTTCCACGTTTACGCGGGACCCTGCCGGAACCCGGGATGCTCACATTCTGCAGTGCGTGTACCCCTTTACGCGGAGAGCGGCTGGCGAGCCGCGCCATTTTTGGATCCAAACCTCCTGCCATCTCTCCTGCCCTCTCCCGCCATCCGCCATGTTGTGTAAGCAGCGCAAGCAGGGTGCGCACAAGGTCGCCCAGTCATTAAAACATTACCGAGTTCTTCACCTGCCACCCACCACAGCCGGCCCGAGTCAGTGATAGTGATAATTGTAGTGAGGATATGGACTTATATGGACTTTGAGGGGTTTGACAAAGAGGCCCTGCAAGCCTATGTGGTGGATAGTGATACAGGTGACGGCCAATAATCTGCCCTCTGCCTCGGAACCAACCCCCCATCCCCGTGTGCCCAGCCATCTTTTCTACTAATGTAAGTGTTAAAAAACCTAATATTATTGATATTTCTCTTAATTATTAATTGTGTGTGCATACCATCATAAATTTAAGAAGTTATTTTTACTACAACATAGTTGTGTGTCGTCAAAAAGTGGAGTTTGGGGGTCGGCCCGGTCTCTATTTCAGTTAATCCCATATGTTATGTTGTTCACTTTACGCGTTTCTCACTTTCCGCGGTACCCTGTGGGTTGTATTAACCGCGTAAAGTGAGGGTTGACTGTACAAATATACTTACACTCACATTAGAGACTTGAAATGTGTGCACGTCAGAATCACTTATGGTACAAGACGTAATATGGCTAATAATGATGAGTACAACAAACAAGAACATATTTTACAGTTGTATTTTAACATCCAGTTGGTAGCCATTATTTCCTACCAGTAAAAGATCTAAAACCCAAGCTACTGTAGAGTATAGTCTGCTCTCACTGGCTGTTGTGTCTGACCTGTACTTAATTGAATGTGATCACTCCTGAACAAATCTTAATGGGAGTACTGTATGGCCAAACTGACTTTTATACTGAGGCTTTGTCCTCAGGCTTGATGACATCTGTGGATATTGGAAGAACACCTCTACAGTATTATGTGTCTTGATGAACAACAAGGCACAATTTATTGATAAAGAGGAATACATTTAGTATATAGCCTGTGTCATACTGGTGTATGTGTGTATGATAATATACAGAATATACAGTACTATGAATTAACTTCATTTCGAGAAAAAGTATTGCAAGATCTCTAGGCAAAAAAACAGTTAGTGTGTAAGTTATGGAACAAGGCTAATTCAGTATTAGTTGACAATACTTGCCCTGGGAGGTACAGAGGCAGCCACTGTCATGGTCACCAGTCACCTCACACAGTACCCATGTATATATATAAATATATATATATTTCTTTTCAACATGTTATATGGGGTGTATTTTTTTTTACTGATAAACCCTCAAGAATTATAGTTATATAAGGCAGCCCTCTGAGGACCATAATATTTCTTATACTTGTTGAGAGAACATTACAAAGGTACATGGATGTTGAAGAAGACTTTGTAATGTTAGGTTTTTGTGGGTGTACTGGTAAATAAAGCAAACCCTTGTGTACAAGCAACAGTGATAAGCCCTGCATGGTGTATTGGGACATACCTTCTGGTTGGCTGACTGACTGCTTGCTTGAGCACTGCCTGGCATCATCACAACATTGTGTGGGCTGTTATGAAGAATGAGTTTTAGTTGGTTTGCTATACATTTATTTTGACCGATTATCTCGCCGTCGTATTTCAGAAGACCGATTTCCTCGTGCGTCATCGTTCATAGCGTCTATCTCGTACTTTTTTGTTGCAATTTTACGTGTATGTTGTCCAGACGTGTTGCTCTTTGTGTACAGTACTATGTGAAGTAATTATTATATACCGTGTGGCCGTACGAGGGACAGTTGTGATAAACCCACTGTACTGTATATGAGACGTGTGTGTTGTACCTTCAGAAGGATGTTGTCTATACTGTATCATTATGGAGTACTGTATTAAGTGTGTACTGTACTGTATTTGTGTGTTATGGAAGCGTGTAATGTTTTAATATTCACAAGAGGAGACCAGTTGGGGGCCAGAGTGTAGTGCTGGGAGCAGATTATTGTTGATATACTGTATATAAAAATAACCAGGTATAGAGTGAAGCATTTAAGGAACTGTACTAATACCTTTCATTTCACAGGGACGAAGAAAAGACTTAAAGTTCCATGATCTATACAAATATAAAATTACTTTTAGTAAATATTAAATATTTAGAAAAAATCACAAAATTGCAGTAATTACAGACATATATTTATATATATTTGTATTTATATTTTGAGGCACTATTGTATATGAACACAAACATATTTATTTAGGAAAAATTGTTAACCATAATTTAACTTTCGTGACTTATTATTATTTTTTTTCATCGAAGACGTAATGAATCCAAGGTGGTGGGGAGGGAGGGTGGGTTGTGTGTGGGATGCCTCCAGGTTATAAGTGACAGAGTTGAGGGAGTAGTGGCCATAGGGTGAACATCTACACCACAGTATTCAGTATTGTGGGGAGCTAAACCTTCAATAAGATCCTGTTTGTTCATATCTTTGTTGTTGTTAAGGAGTTATACAGAATTAAACTAAACTATGACCTTACCAGCAGTATGGTTGTAGGTCAGAGGGGTCCCAACCCAACCCAACCCAATCCTGCCATCAAGATATGAGGTTTATTACAGTTGGAACGTAGGTTAGGTTAGGATTGGAACCACTTTGACCAATTACCCAATAGTACACAATGCCATCGAGAGGAGAATATTTATGGTAGAAAATATTTTGTCTTGAGCTGTGTTATGTGGCTTGATTGAGGAGAGGAAGAGATGTCTGTTAATGCTGCTGAGAAGAGGAAGAACAGGAGGAGGATGAGGAAGAGGTCCTTATGTAACATTATAGAGAGGATATGTTTTAAACCCCCTCATTAACCATTCAGTGTTAACTCTAGTGTTTTGATCATGGCATAACATAACAACAAGTGATCTCTGGGTCGTGTAGTTGTAGATAATAATGTTTGTTTGTGTAATTGGAACAAAGAATAGTGAACTTATTCTGTACAAGAGTGTGTTTTTATTTAACCCAGCTTTGTGATTTATTGTGTGAACCCACCACTTACTTTTATCTGGTTATTGGTCATTTAGGCAGTCGGTCTGTTGTTTGTTATCTTCTCTGTCCAGTGTTGGTACAGGAGGAAACTACAGTGCTGCACCTGGAGAAAACCTTTGCTGTTTGCTAGGGTCACAGTGGAAAAATTTTGTTGGTATATTTACTTAACAAATTTTTATCAATGTTCATTTTGCCATTCCATTATGTATGGGGTGGATTATGGGACAGAGAAACTTTACCATTAACTGATGAAAAAGGATTCCTTACTTTATCCCCACATGAATAAAAATGGAATGCAAGGAACATGATACTTCCACTGGTGATGGTCAGCATCCCCTACCAACATTTGACACCTATTTTGTATTTTTTTAAATGTCAAACAGCTAATCTCTACTATCAATAGCCAGATGATCAATCCCTCAGCTAGACACCAGCTAAGAAATTTGTATAACATAGTACAGTAACAGGTGTGGTAGGTCGGTAACCCCAGAAAACGTGGCCACGAAGGACTTAACTTGAGCAGCTTCATAAGGTTTTTGTCTATGATGCCATAAACACACTTAATCTAAAGACCTTTCCTCCATGTCAGTGAAGAATAAGAGCCAACAACGTCGCTCGCAAGGTTGCTGCAGTTGACGCTGATAAAATACTGTTTAGCAGGATTGTTGTGGTTAAAACCAGAGATGTTAACTTAAAAGATGTACCTTTTTCATTAGTTGTCCTCTACTGCTCACTTGTCACATGCTAAAGACACACTTCTAGCTGAACTGGATAAAGAAATCGCGTACAACATCGCCTTCCATGCGTTGAACCATCTCACTGGATCATAGATGGAATGGCTGTCCTATAAATGGTTTGCAATCAAGGTGTACCAACATTTGGTCATTTAAGTAACAAGGTACTTGACTTGGTCTTGAATCCTTTTGGGGATGAATCTTGCTCCTTGTGTTAATGTTGTCTTTGATTAGTATGGTTGTGGCCAATCTATTAAGAATTTGAAAGAACAAGGTGGCCAAATAGAAGACAGCAACGACATTTGCATCCACGAGTAGCCAAAGTCATTGGTCAGGCTTCAAAGATGGAAAGAAAGTTAAGGCTGTTACCAACACAGAAGTTATATGCCTCCACCATCTGTGCAACATAAAAGAGGCAGATACAGTACTAGGGTCCTACTTAAGGCTGCAGATGCCTCCATCAAGTTCAGTGTTGTTGTGGTTTGGTTTCCAGACACACATGTTGCTCTAGTGTTTACATTATGTAAAAAAAAAAAATATCTGACTACTGTACTGAATTATGGCTCAGAACTGGAGTAAAGGACAAGGTTAGATTTCTGCCAAAAAGAATGGTGGAGGAATGTGCGAGCTGCTTAGGTGTACGTGACCACACAGGACGGGACTCAACCAGTGGAAGTGAGACCTCTCAAATGGTCAAGACAAACCTATCATTAGAAGTTCCACTGTGCGAACTAGGAACTGTTTACCAGGTTACACAGGCAGCACTGA